CATCACCTGTAGGATACACTCTGACCCCGGGGCCTCAGTACTGGTCAGGCATCCACAACATTGTCTAACCCTCAGCTGAATCTTGTAGGCCACATACTGTAATAATATTATAGGTGTGTTATTGTATTACTGTCACATACTGTAAGTATATTACACTAACATGTGTGTTATAGTATTATAAATGAATCAAATTAACAAGACATCAACGGGTCAAAATATGCTCAACTGAGTTATCATCTCTTCTAATTAAATCTTTATCTATGGAACAAAATCAAGCCTCTTGGGTATTTTCTAAAATTATCAGCTTACCTTTCAAAATTTAATTTCATATATTGTCTTTCTTAGTTTAATAGATTCTCTTGGTTTTAGTCTATTTCATCAGTTGCTACTTCTTGGGTTTAGTCTTAGACTAGATAACCAGTTGAACTTATTCACCCCCTGGATTAGTCTAGTTAATCAGTGGTTACCTCTATGGAATAGTCTATTTCATCAGTAGTTAATTCTTTGTATTAGACTTGTTAATTAGTGTTTACCTCTTTGGGCATGCTCTGTGGACTCTCTGATTCACTGTAGCCCACTCCTTCATAGATTTCCTGCTTCTCCTCCTCAGACAAATCAAACAGTTCGTCTGAAATATAATGCGATTTATAATTTATGAGGACTGATGATGAGGCAATGAGATTTTTTAAATAATTATATTGATAAAATAAAGAGAGATAACTCTTACATTACTTAATCAAAGGATGATAACTCCTAAAGTAAAAAAAAAATTGAGGTAACTCTTACATGGTCAAATCAATAAATAATTACTCCAAAAATTCGTAAATCAAAAAAGAAGTAATTTTAATATTGAAAAATCATGGAAGATAACTATATAATTATAAAATATTTCGGAAATAAAATCTTTGTCCCGGGTGAATGTGTCCGGTTTTGACCAATCCCGGGTATCCAAATATGTGTTTATTTTCAATAACCAGGGTTTAGTACTGCAACCGTTGGATGTTTTAAGTATTTTAAATTCAATTTCAAAGATCCAACAGAAATTAAATTGTAAATTTGTTGCCAAAATTAAGTTTAAATTGCCAAAATGAGTAATCCGGGCTCGCTACCAATATTAGTCACCTGGAAAAGGACAATCACAATAATCTTTGGAAAACACAATATTTTGAGATAAAATTTTCAGCGAAGGCCAATCGTATGATAATAAACTAGGTCCCTAAATTTTATGAAGAAAGAACGAGTATTTATTTCTTGTCAAAATCCCGGTTTTCAGTTTCGAAATTCCTGGCTGGGCCCGGGTTTCACTACCTATTTTAGTCACACTCATTTTCTTGAAACCATCAAATTTTGACCCCTCAATATGTTTATTGTGTCTAATCTTTGCTGAAAAACCCATATATTTTTTTTCTACTAAAACATTACAAAAACCACTTCAGGTCAACAACTGAGCTTATCCTAGTATTGTACCTAGTACATTCTAACAAATAGGGAATAAGAAATAGAACAACATATAAAGACTGAGATAAAATGTAAAATTGTGTCAACTTTATATCGAAGTTATCATGAGTTTGGTACACGATGGTTTTTCCAAATAAAAAAGTCACAAGATTTGTTTTATCTCCACTGATCAGATAAATCATTGCAGCCATACTCTCGTGTTCATGCATGCAGTCACAGATACAACAGATTTAAAGGTAAAAATCTCATCTCATTCTTCTATTGTTTTAATTTACCCAATTTTATACAGTATGTGCTTGCTTTTTTCAAAATTTTATCATTTGATTATTAAGTAATGATAATTTAATTTTTCAGCAATTTCAAGACTCTGATAAAATGGACCCAAGACTTTCTGCTCAGGACATCATTAGATGTGATGTCTGTAAAGATAGAATGGTACAAATGTTTTGTAACTTGTGTCCTATGAATCTCTGTATGGAATAATTAGGAAAGCACACCTCTGATGTCTCTAAAAAGCATAATATGGTGCCTTTTGCTTTGAAAAGATCCAAACTTGCATACCCTCAATGTTCAACTCATTCTGAAGAGCACTGTGAAATGCTCTGTGAAGATTGCAACATTCCAGCATGTCCAAAATGTGTTATATCTAGTACACATAGGAGACATCATTTCAAAAATCTTGATGACCTCATGAACTCTCAGAAAGAGAACATTGAAAAGGAAAGAAAAAGACTGAAAGAAACAGTTTACTCAAAATTTAAAGATATTATTATTGACATAAAAATCCAGCTAGGTGAAATAGATGGAAAATACAGGAAACTTACTTCAGAGGTCACAAATCATGGGCAAAAATGCCACAGAGAAATTAACAAAGTAATAGAGAAAAACAAGGAGAAAATCGATGAGATGAGAAACCAACACAGAGATGCCCTAAATAAACATCTCAATGATATAAAGAAACTTGCAGCTGATATCAGACAGTCTATATCCGAAATTGAGGACATTTTACAATCCAAAGAAGTCATCAGATCACTTTCCTATGAGATAAAATCAGAAAAATTCACCAAACTTCCATCCAAACTGATTGTTAAGTTTCCTGTGTTTACTGAAAATAATAATCAAGAGCAATGTTCTCAATTATTTGGTTCTTTATCATCATTATCCATTACAACTAAAAAAGATGGCTACACAATGGAGACACCAGAAGCTGTATCCTGTCCTCCAGTCAAACCACTGCTTGATGTACCAGAGGTCATCACCACCATAGACACCGGGTATGACGAACTATACAATGTTACCTGTCTGGATGATGAAGAAATCTGGATATGTGGGAATGACAAAATCATGAAACTCTACAACCTCCAGGGCAATCTACTGAAGTCAATCAAAACCAAGTCAGGGAACACATCAAGTGACATAGCAGTGACAATGAGTGGAGATCTAGTTTATACTGACCCTGGTACAAGAACTGTAAACATAGTGAAGAATAAACAGATACCAGGGTTCGACACTAACGGTAGACCGGCGGCCCGAGTCCACCAAAAAATTGGAAGGTCCACCAAATGTTCAGGACTAGGTGGACCGTCGGTCCACTTAAAATTTAAACACCATATTTAAAGACAGTGAAATCCAGGATTTCTTTTTCTTTAAATTGAAATCCGTAACTCAAATTATTAATTCCTCCATACCTTAATTATACAAGAATTAAATATACATGTAAATAATGTTTAGGTAATGAGGTGGGGGCAAGTAACTCGATATATTTTACATGTAAAATCGATAACTCCAATATTAATATAATATTGAGACACAAGAACATTCAACACGGACCTTGAATAGGCCTAAACATGAAAAATCCGTGCCAAATTATCCAGTCTATCCCCTGTTTACGTAATGCACAGAAAGGTGTGAAAATTTCACTGGGTATCAGGAAATCGCTTCACGCCTGAACGCACACTGTTGGAGATGATTAGAATTGATTGACAGTTGCACTTATGCATTGTTTTTTTTAAATAGATGTTCAAAGAGGCATAATTTACAGTAAATGAACTATTATCTGCAGTTTCATTTTCTTTTTTTGATATATATATTATATCACTACTTATTTGAATAGATAATAAATTTAGAAAATAATTAATTAATACAGATACATGTACCTATGTCAGTTTTGCACCGTAGTAAAAAAAAAATGATCTAGCCATGGATACATGAAAAATTCACTTGTTTATTAATTGAATAAATTCATTAATAATTGGAGTTTTAATCTACCTGTGGAAGCGAAACAAATGCAGGCTTTCACAATTGTAACTTAATGATTTATAAAAATATTTCTTTGGTTTATAGATTAATAGTTTTTTTTAAGTTTTACGATATTTCTTTAAAAAAAATCTGACTAGTCCTTAATATTAATTTGATTCTGTTGACTGGTTAGATTTATGCTTTATCATGTTTATTAGTCTGTCTGGAATCAATATATATTACAGTTAGTTTTAATTAACGCCTTGTGTAATGATTCATATATTAATTCAAGCATTTATAAGGGTCCACCAGATATTAAGAAGGTCCACCAATAATTTTTGACAAGTGGACCTGCGGTCCACCAAGGTAAAAAAGTTAGTGTCGAACCCTGGATACAGGAAGTGATCAGACTACATTAGGGTGGAAACCTTACAACATCTGTAGTACCTCCTCTGGTGACCTCCTGGTTACCATGTACAATGGTGATAATGAACATTCAAAAGTTGTCCGTTACTCTGGCTCCACAGAGATACAAACCATTCAGTTTGATAGTGAAGGTAAACCCCTGTAATTCATCTAACTACCTTAAATATATCAGTGAGAACAGGAACCTGGATATTTGTGTGGCTGACAGTGGAGCCAGTGCAGTAGTGGTGGTTAGTCAGGCAGGAAAACTCCGATTTAGACACACTGGTCATCTCTCTACTACCTGGAAGGGATCACTCTATCATTTTTTCTTTAAAAAGAAGGAATCATTTAATCCATGTGGCATCACAACAGACAGCCAGAGTCAGATCCTGACAGCAGACAGTGGTAACCACTGTATCCACATCCTAGATCAGGACGGACAGTTCCTCTGTTACATTGATAACTGTGACCTATAGGTTCCATATGGATTATGTGTAGACACCAGTGACAACCTCTTTGTGGCTGAGCAAGTCAGTGGTAGAGTGAAGAAAATCAAATACATGTAAACAATGTGTGCTGAAATTTAATTTTCATTGGGATAGAAGTGATCAATAATTTAGGAAATAATTCAATTTTTAATTACTTTATGCATACTTTATGCACATTTACACCAAATGTGATAAATTTGTATTCAAAACTACTGGCCCTGTGGGGATCTGGGTTAGAATAGGTCCTCAGTACCCTCTTGCTTGTCGTAAAAGGTGACTAAATTGGGCGGTCCTTCGGATGAGACCGTGTAAACCGAGGCCCCGTGTCACAGCAGGTGTGGCACAATAAAGATCCCTCCCTGCTCAATGGCCCTGAGTGCAGAGTATAGGCCTAAATTTGCAACCCTTCACCGGCAATGGTGACGTCTCCATATCAGTGAAATATTCTGGAGAGGGACGTTAAACAGTATACAATCAATCAAAACTACTGAGTAATACTGAAAGGCAGATTTCAGTGATTTTCAGTAACCCTTCAGCTACAATTTAGGTAGCTTCAGTCACCAATAAGCAAGCACATTTCTGTTATCTTTCAGTGACCTTTCTGTGCACTCTCAGTTGCCTTTAAGTTACCTTTCCATCGTCCTTCAGTCACCTTTCAGTGACCTTTCCATCAATGATTTTTTCACTGTTTTTTCACTAGTTTGACAGTAATTAGTTCAAAGTAATATTTAAATTTAATTTATTTTCACTTTAAAATATGATTTTGTTTTCTTCTTGTGATAAAATTTAGGTACATAGAACCGGTTGCTAATGGATGGATGTTACTTTAAATTGAGAACTTAAATGCTTAATTGTGATTTTAGAATTATTAAAAATTCTCTAATCGCAATTATCTTAATATTACAGATTACAATTCAACTGTGAAGTGATTTTTTAGTTTCTTCATTTTGTTACATGAGATATTGATTTAGAAAACGATTTAGAAAACCAAACATATTCATGACAAGTGATTTAAAATGATCCAATATTCTTATCA